AAAATATAGGGAAATAAAAAGTGTATAAAGAAAAATTAGCGCTAATTTTAATAACTATCCGTATAAAACAATAAACTGCAAGGTTAATAAGAATAATATCGAGAAACAAATTAAAAAAGACAACTATTCTGCTCCTATTTAAAATAATATAATTTTGCTCTTTCATTGTCGAATTTAAATTGAATAAAGGAAAGCGTACAAGTGAGGAATATTGGTTAACACTGGCTGTACAATGTGTAGGCAATTTAGCACCGAAACCCATAAAATGAAACGTTTTTGTGTTATTTTAATGTTGGCAAGTATTAACCAATTATGAAATCGGATCGAGTAACTTGGAAATGCCTTATCTTTGTAGCCAGCGGTGTCAAACCAACAAATACTGGTGACAACTGTTGGAAAAAAAAGTTGGAAATATTAATCAGTACAAGAGGGTTTGTTGTTTTGTTTGATCCTTTCATTATGGAGTCGTTTGAATATAAAAGTATAGATGGCCATCCGAACGTATTGTTAGCAAATATCGGCCACAGCTCATAGAGCAAAAGAATTGTCATTTAGTTGGCCGTCGCCAGTCAAATCGGTCGCTGCTGAGAAATCCAATTGCGTTCTATAAAATTTTTGCTAAACAGGAGAAACACCAAAAAACAATAATATAATACAACAACAACGTTCATTCATTAAAATAAATGCTCAAAAGCGAAAGAAAATTCAAACACCCTCGAGCAATGTAATCGAGAAAAGAATATTTGCGTTTAATAGCGACCGAAGAGAAAATTAATATTTATTAATTTTTGGCTCTCATCTGAAAGGAAAATAATCGTCCATCTTCTACTTTTCACTTCATACTATTCAACTATTCGTCCACAAAAAGAATTAATAATGCATAGCACATCAAAACTATAATACATCTTAACGGCTATTGTTCAAATTATTGTTCAAATTTCCCCTAAAGTCATATAAAAATTCACTGCCTAGCGATTCTAAGAAGCAAGAGAAGCTCAATTACAAAATTAAATCTATAATTTTCCAAGGGATTCTACAGCACTTTTCATTGAAGTCAAGCAATAATCGTATTTCGGAACGGCAGTTAGGAAGGACAATAAACCTATCCGTAAAAGCAAAAGTGAAAAAAGAGTGATATTAAGGAGATAACAGAATCTAAGGGCTGCAAACTAAACAACAGGCCAAGCAATTCAATAGCTGTGGAGAAAAAGGATAAGAGAAAGAAAATTTTCAAGATTTTCTTTTGTATTTGTATTTTTATTTGTAAAGATGATTTTCAATAGCATATCTGCAAAAATACAAATACAATTTTCTTCTCGTCAAATAATATAACGTTTTTCAATTTTTATTTTGAATAATTTAAACAATAATAACACTTGCACTTCGAATTTAATTCTTTGTACTTATTCAATATAATCAACAATCAACAAAAATCGGTTTGCACCATTCGGGATTCCAACAATTACGGATTGTCTCTGTGCGAGCAATCTCGTGATAATTGCCATCGTATTTCGCATCTAAATTATTACAACACAATTTGAAAAAAAAGTTTCCAAATTCTATATTAGAAGAAAACTTAAAGATTAAGTAAAGAAAATAACCTCTTGCGAGATAAACATAGGATCACTTTTTGAGAAAACATCCGAATCATATAAATTCCTGGAACCAAATGCAATGAAATAGCAATAATATGTGGTACCATACTATTCTGAATTTAGATCAGACCGAATCTCGTATTAACAAAAATGCTTTCGTCTAGATTTCTTAAATTTATACATAACTTGTCCTTTAACACAAAAGGAGAGCGAAATATGGATTATCAGTTCGGACTAAAAGGTTTTATACACTAATTTCAGAATAGTAGAGCAGATGAAATTGATAAAATAGGAAAGCAAAAAAATCGCTTAGCAGAGAGTCGAATCTTTGAACGTGAAATAATCGTTGATGGTATTCATTCTTAACTTGTCGAGAAATTCAATTCAAAGCGTTTCTTTCTCTATGAAATGAAATCGAAAATTTATTTATTATATTTTCACAATTTATTTATTGAAAACCAGCCAAGCAGGGCGCAAACGCCATGTGTTTGTATTAATAACATCAGATAAAATAATAAATGATAAGACAAGTGACAAGTGACAAAAAATTAATGACAAGTAACAAAAAAAAAATTAAAATAAAATAAATAATTTAAAGATGGAATAAAGAGAATATTGCAAAATAATAAAATATAGTACAATTCGAAATAAATAATCATTATGTTGCAAAATTAATTGCTTACGTGGATTTGAAAATTTTCTTTTGATATAGGTCCAGAAAGAAATCTTATTTTCACAATGAATCATTAATAAAGCAAAAACAATATAAATTATAAAATATTTAAAAACCAAGAAAATTAAAATAAAAAATAAAAACAGAAAAAGGTTATGCAATTGCGTAATATGAGAATAACAGATCAGATATTATATCACAAAGATTTCAGTAATGTAAAGAGGAACGAAAACAACAATTAAAATAAAATAGCATTAATACGTTTGAAAGGTCAATGACGTGTAAAAAAAGGTCAGCCGAGGTCATTCAAATAAATCTGTTAATCTTACATAACAAAAGATCATATTAATCATTTTGCCGAGAATACGTAAATTGTGCTAAAATAAATATTTATAAATATAATAAATAAAAAATAAAAAATATGGAAATATATTAAATAGGCAAATAAATAAAAATTATGAAGTTTTCGGATTTTGGATTTGTAATTCAAAAAATGAAAATAATTACTTATAAAATAAACAACTGCAAAATAAATGTTACTTGCCAACGAATAATTTTAAATGGAAAAGCAGCTAACAGTGCTGGCGGCCCACCTGCATTTCGATCGCCATGTTGGTTGGCTCTGTGGTAAAAAATCGCGTGAAGCCAACTCAGCGAGTCCAATCTGAAATAATAAGCGCTCTTAGAAAAGAAAAATCTAAAAAAATTACGGAAAAGAAGGCATAAAATTTAAATTTCCACAATACTTATTCCAATACTTTTTAACTATTTTTGTTTTACAATGTAGATTTATATTTTATTAATAAAAAAATTAATAAGAAAATATTTCAAAAGGTTGAAATATAATTATCTCTTTTTCCCTTTGGTCATTAATAAACGCGAATATCCTTTGCTCGATTTCATTGCTCGAGGGCATTTTAATTTTATTTCGCTTTTGAGCATTTATTTTAATGAATAAACGTTGTTGTATTGAATCGTGTTTTGGTATTTTTTCTACTGTTCAGTAAAAATTTGAACACTATTGGATTTCTCAGCAGTGATCGATTTGACGGGCGATGGCCAAATAAATAAATATTTTATTGCGGTACGAGCTGTGGCAGGTATTTTCCACTACATAAATATGAAAACGTTTCATTTTATGGACAATGCCGCTAAATTACCTCCTCATTAACATAGCCGTTAACCAATGTTTTACAAGTTCAGATGGATTTTTGGTAGGTCTGCTTTTGCGAAGAGTAGAATCTCAGGACCAACGTCGCGAAATGAGTAATCCGTAAAGTATCTTAAAAATAAGGAAATTTTCTTTACAAATAAGTGTCAATATTTAATAAATTGCCGAAGCATCAACAAACTAATATTGCTAAATGGAACGACAAAATAGCTATGCGGTAGACAAAACGACATAATAGCGACAGCCACAAAGTATTAATAGTATAGTATAAAGTATCATATATTAAAGCATAATGAATAAAGTATAAAATGAAATGCTCAATCCTTTCAAATTGAAAATTTAAATTAGAAAAATCAGAGAAAAATTATAAAAGTAATGAGAAGAAAAAAGTGGCATACAAACCCTAACTTTTTTCTCATTCTTTTTTTTCATTATTACTATTTATAATGATTTTTTATTTATTTGCTTTTAATTTTTAAAGTAATAATGAGAAAATATTTTTATTATTTTTTTTAGTTATTAATTAATTTTCACCCACTTTTTAAATGAATTTTTTCGTCTAAGAAATAGGAATAGGAAAAGCGTTTGATTTACAGAATATTTTTTCTTCGATAATTTTGGGAAATATCATTATTGTTCTATTATTGGTACTTTTACTATACTAAAAGGTTGAGTTTTTCTAGCTTTCTTGAAAAAATAAATGCATTAAGAACATGTTTTGTTGAAAAAGGAAAAACAACACAGTAAAATAAAATTATTCAAAATTTTGGCCATAAATGGCAAATTTTGACATGCAAATATAAGAAACGAATAAAGAAGATAACAAGGAAAATGAGAACGAAATAAATAGAATGATTTTTAAAAAAATTTTTGGGTTTTTTTTAGGTTAAAATTATTATAAAATGGATGAAGTAGAAAGAAAAAATACATTGCTCAATGAAAAATATTTTAATATTTAATAATCTTTTTGTTCTTTTATTTCCTTTATTATATTTTAATTTCGGTTTTGTAATTTCCTTCATAAAACATTTTTAAAACTATTTAATGCAATAATAAAGCAATTCAAATTTAATCTGTTATTATAATAAACGACTTAAAAAAGAAATTAAATAAATGAGAATAAATTTAATTGCTATAATAATATATTACAATAATTTTTATATGAAACAACGTAAAAATAGTGCCTTCTGAAACACAAGGAATGCAAAGCTTAAACTATTGAACTATTAAATTGACCTCAGCGAAGCATAAGGAGCATGCGGTGACCTGGCTAGAATAAAAGGTCAGCATGTGTTCCATATTAGTCATTGCTACAGCTGTAAGCCAAACCGACTGGTCCTTCAATTCTTGTTGCTTTCTTAAATTTTTTCAAATTTTTCGTTTCTTATATCCAATATTAATTGATAAATGAATCAAAATCTTAAATTTATTAGGAATTTATCTAAATGGTTGACTGCGCATAACTTAAGTTACCATCTTTCGTCATAGGCTGGGAAAAATCTGCTACTTGTTGCTGCTTGAGTTTCATTTCCATTTCTATCCCGCAATGATTTTTTGATAAATTTCTCCAACATTACGATTAGTCCACTGGATGAGTTAAGCCAGAAATGATGAGTTCTAAGGAATTAATTGCTTGCTTCCTTCCTATATTTACAATTTCTAATGAAGAAATTTGTTAATTATAGTTTTTGCGATATGAATTGATTTGATATTTCATTCATTCGACCTTAAAATTATTTATTTTTTGTGGACAATAATGGTGTTATTATGTTAAAAATTTGAAGTAATGACATAAGCTAAACGATTAAATGAAAATTTTTTCAGAAATGGCTGATATAAATGATGTTAATCCACCTCGCGGCGCTATCAATGAAAATTTTTTCAGAAATGGCTGATATAAATGATGTTAATCCACCTCGCGGCGCTATCAAAAAAGCATATACGGCTAAGCCGTATGTTGAATTTTGCCCTGAGTGCTAGGTAGATTCATTACAAGTTTCGCTGATAACGACTTTTCTGATTATTTCTACTTTATATTACTTGTAAGACTATAAAGCAGCGAACCATTCTTAGTCTTTAAAATAATTTATCGGATAATTCTTCCAAATTCTCTTTACGTAAAGAATAAATTATAGATAAAAGTATAATCAATAAAATTTGAATTTCTATTTGTCAATTAGATGAAATAGCCAATAATGTGGTTGATCGTTACTGACTTTTTCTTTTCCATATTGAAGTTCCATTGCTATAAACTCCATAAAAGGTTAAACAGGATTACCGAGTGGCTTTTCTTGAGCCATGTTTCGATTAAAAGATATTTTCATGCATAATTTTTTAAAATTAACAAATGGTTTTTCAGCGTAAAGTACGAACTCGGCAAAAATTTATTACGGGTCGACTCACATGGATTTTGGCTATTATTGGTTGTTTATTTTTTATTCCGCTAGCAGTTGTGCCGTTTGTTGTACATTCATGCAAGGACGTACTTCATTATTGTCCAAACTGCAATACGTTATTATCAATTAGAATTCGATTTTGATGCATTTTTTTTTACTCATTTCTGTTTGCTTTTGCCTTCTAAATAAATCGTTCTTTCAATTTGGCTGAATGTCTCATTTTCATAAAAATAACAAATTTGTCATTTTATTGAATATTCAAACGAATATTCTTGAATAATAATATTGAGATTTATATGAGTTAGTATTTACTATCTAAAACATTGACATATTTTTTAAATTCTAATTGGATAATTTTTATGCCCTAAAGAATGCAAATAACTTTAAAATGCTAAGCAAAGAGCTTACACCTTCGAGGAAGAATTGGATGAAATGCTCACTTAGTTGATTCACCCACCTCGATTTTCAAAAAATAGTAAATCCTTAGCACTAGCGAGCTAAAATTATCGCTACAACGGATTAATGTTAGTTGCGATAAATAGAAAGCGAATGATGAGAATGCACCATTTACTGG